TGGATTGTGCTTTTGGCATCAAATCTGAGAACTCTTTGCTTTACTCTAGATCCCAAAGGTCTCCTAAAAGTTTTATAGTTGGACGTTTTACATCTCAGTGCATGATCCATTTTGAGTAAATGTTTTAAGTTATGAGACTTAGATTAAGGTTCCTTTTTTACTGATGGATATCCATTTGCTCCAGCATCATTTGTTGTAAAAGCTATGTTACCATATTGAATTACTTTTGCACCTTGTCAAAAATCAGTGCAGCATATTTGTGTGGATCTATTTCTGGGTTTTCTATTCTGTTCTGTTGATCTGTGTGTCTGTCCTCCCACCAATACCACATAATCTTGATTGCTATACCTATATATTAAGTCTTGAAATTGAGTAGACTGATTCCTCCCATTTTCTTGAGAAAATTGGTTTAGCTATTTTATTCCTTTGCCTTTGCATGTAAATTTTAGGATAATCTTATCTATATTAACAAAAAATCTTGCTAGGATTTTGATAGGAATTGCATTAATCCTGTATACTAATTTGGGAAGAATCAACATACTATGTTGAGTCTGAATCCATGAACATGGTATGTTTCTCCATTTATATTTTTGATTTTTTTTTTTTTTTTTTTTGAGGAAGATTGTCTCTAAGCTAACATCTTTTGCCAGTCTTCCTCTTTTTTTGCTTGAGGAAGATTAGCCCTGAGCTGACATCTGTGCCAGTCTTCCTCTATTTTGTATGTGGGTTGCCACCACAACATGGCTTGATGAGTGGTGTAGGTCCAAGCCTGGGATCCGAACTCATGAACCCAGGCTGCCAAAGCAGAGCGTGCCAGACTTAACCACTATGCCATGGGGCCGGCCCCAGTGTTTTTGATTTTTTCATTAGCATTGTATAGTTTTCAGCATACAAATACTGTACACGTTTTGTTGGATTTACACCTAGTATTTTTTGAGCAATTTTAAATGGGATTGCATTTTAAATTTCAGTGTCCATGTGTTCATTACTAGTATATTAAAGTATGATGGACTTTTGTATGTTTATCTTGTATCTGGTACCTTGCTGATCTAACTTATTAGTTCTAAGAGTTTGTTTTGTAGATCTTTGGGATTTGCTATGTAGACAATCATGTCATCTGCAAATAGAGACAGTTTATTTTTCCTTTCTAATCTATGTGCCTTTTATTTCCTTTTCTTGCCATATTGCAAGAACTTCCAGTGCTATGTTGAATAAGCTTGGTGAGAGTGGACATTTTTGCCTTGGTCCTGATCTTAGGGGGAAAGTATTCAGTCTTTCACCATTAAGCATAATGTTAGTTGTAAAGTTTTTTGTAGATATTCTTTATCAAATTGATAAAATTGTTTTTCTGATAGTTTTTATCATTAGTAGGTGTTGAATTTTGTCTAATGCTTTTTCTGTATCAATTGCTCTGATCATGTGATTTTTCTTCTTTAGCCTGTAAATATGGTAGATTACATTGATTGGTTTTCTAACATTGAACCCGCATTGCACCTTGAACTAAACCCCAGTTAGTTATGGTGTATGATTCTTTTTATATAGTACTGAATTCTATTTGCTGATATGTTGAAAAGGAGTTTTATTTCTGTATTCATGAGGGATGTTCTGTAGCTTTTTTTGGTTTTTGTTGTTTTGGTACTGTCTTTGTCTAGTTTTGGTATCGGGATAATTTTTATGCATTTATTGGCGTGATAAAAATCATATGATTTCTTCATTTATTTTGTTAATGTAGTGAAATGCATTGATCTCTAAAACGTCGAACCAACCTTACATCCCAGGAGTAAACACCTTAATAATCATGATCTATTATCCTTTAAAAATATATTGCTGGGTTTGATTTATTAATATTTTCTTGATGATTTTTGGCCTATATTTTGTACAGGATATTGATCTATTTTTTTCTTTTCTCGTAATGCCTTTGTCAAGCTTTCATATCAGGGTTATGTAGGTCTTGTTGAATGAGTTGGGAAGTGTTTCATTCTCCTGTATTTTCTGAAAGTTTGTATAAGATTGGCATTATTTCTTATTTACATGTTTGATAAAATTCACTGGTAACGGCATCTAGGCCTGGAGTTTTCTTTGTGGGGAAGTTCTGTTTTTTTTTATTTTTATTTTTTGTGAGGAAGAGTAGCCCTGAGCTAAGATCTGTTGCCATTCCTCTTTTTTTGCTGAGGAAGATTGGCCCTGGGCTAACATCCATGCCCATCTTCCTCTACTTTATATGTGGGATGCTTGCCACAGCATGGCTTGATGAGTGGTGCATAGGTCCGTGCCCAGGACCTGAACCTGTGAACTCTGGGCTGCTGAAGCAGAGTGTGTGTGAACTTAACCACTATGCCGCTGGGCTGGCCCCGGTGGAAAAGTTTCAGATTGAAGATTCAATTATTTTTCTTGTAAATAAAGTTCATCTTTTAGAGTTATATTAGGTTCTCAGCAGAATTGAGCAGGTAGTACAGAGAGTTCCCGTATACCTTCTGCTCCCACACATACATAGCCTCTCCCACTATCAACATCCTGCACCACAGTGGTACATTTGATACAATTGATGAATATTCTTTGACACATCATTGTCACCCAGAGTCCATAGTTTACGTTAGGGTTCACTCTTCATGTACATTCTATGGGTTTTGACAAATGTATAATGACATGTATTCACCATTATAGTATCATACAAAATAGTGCTCTGTCTGTTCATCCTTCCCTTCCCCCAGACCCCTGGCAACTACTCATCTTGTTACTGTCTCCATAGTTTTGCCTTCTCTAGAATGTCATAGTTGGAATCATACAGTATATAGCCTTTTCAAATTGGCTTCTTTCACTTAGTAATATCCTTTTAAGTTTCCTCCATGTCTTTTCATGGCTTGATAGTTCAGTTCTTTTTAGCACTGAATAATATTTCACTGTCTGGATATACCACAGTTTATTTATCCATTCGCTTACTGAAGGACATCTTGGTTGCTTCCAAGCTTTGGCAGTTATGGATAAAGCTGTTATAAGGATCTGTGTTCAGGTTTTTGTGTGCACGTAAGTTTTCAACTCATTTGGGTAAATACCAAGGAGTGTGATTGCTGGGCCACATGGGAAGAGTATATTTAGTGTTGTAAGAAACTGCAAACTGTCTTCCAAAGTAGCTGTACCATTTTGCATTCTTACCAGCAATGAGTGAGAGTTCCTCTTGGTCCACATCCTCTCCAGCATTTGATGTTGTCAGTGTTTTGGATTTTGGTCATTCTAATAGGTGTGTAGTAGTATCTCATTGTTCTTTTCATTTGCATTTCCCTAATGACATGTGATGTGGAGCAACTTTTCATATGCTTATTTGCCATCTGTATATCTTCTTTGGTGAGGTGTCTGTTCAGATATTTTGCCCATTTTTTAATCAGATGGGTCATTTTCTTATTGTTGTGTTTGAGTTCTTTATATACTTTGGATAAGTCTTTTATCAGATATGTCTTTTGCAAATATTTTCTCCCAGTGTATGGCTTGTCTTCTCATTCTCTTGACAGATTCAGTTTTTAAAACAGGTATAAAGCTTTTCAGATTTTCTGTTTCTTCTTGTATCAGTTTTGGTAACTTTTGTCTTTCAAAGAATTTCTGTTTCATCTAGGTTGTCAAATTTACTTGCATAAAGTTCTCTTTCTCTCTCTCTCTCTTTTTTTTTTTTTTTTTTTTGGTGAGGAAGATTGGCCCTGAGCTAACATCTGTTGCCAGTTTTCCTCTTTTTGCTTGAGGAGGATTGTCGCTGAGCTAACATCTGTGCCAGTCTTCCTCTATTTTGTATGTGGGACGCCACCACAGCATGGCTTGACAAGCAGTGTGTAGGTCTGCGCCTGGGATCCGAACCCCGCGACCCTGCGCTGCATTAGCGGAGCGCACAAACTTAACCACTATGCCATCGGGCCAGCCCCTAAAGTTACCTTTTTAATGCCTGTGAACTCCCCTTGTTCATTCCTGATACTGACAATATGTTTTATCTCTTTTTCTTCATTGGTTAGGGATTTGTCAACTTATATTAATATTTTCAAAGAACTAATTTTTAGTTTTGTTTATTTTTCTTAATTGTTTCCTATTTCATTGATTTCTACTCTTTATTTCTTTTCTAATACTTTGGGTTAATTGACTCTTTTTTTCCTAGCTTCTTAAGATGGAAGCTTCAATCATTGGTTTTAAATATTTCTTCTTTTCTAATATAAGCATTTGAAGCTATAAATTTCCCTTTAAGCACTGTTTTAAGTGCATCCCACAAATATTGGTATGTTGTATTTTCATTATCATTGAGTTTGAACTATTTTCTAACTTCCCTTTTGATTTCTTCTTCAACCCATATATTATTTAGAAATGTCTTACTTAATTTCCAAATGTTTGGGAATATTTGAAATATCTTATTATCAATTTCGGATTTAATTCTGTTGTGTACAAAGAATATACTCTGTCTGATTTCAGTCTTTTGAAATGAATTGATACTAGTTTAAGGCACAGCATCTGTTGGTAAACATTTCATGTGGACTTGAAAAGAATGTATATTCTGTAGTTGTGAGGTGTAGTGCTCTATAATGCCTTCAGTCAGCTTTTTAAAAAAATTTTGTCCAGAATTTATCATCATCGGCGAGAGGGTTAGTCTGATATGAGCTACTCTGACATTACCAGTATTATTTTTTTATATATTATTTCTTCATAATATATTCTCTTAGGAAGCATTCTGGTGGCAGATATAATAAAATGTAATAGATTATAAACAGGTTATAGTTTGTGTGATTTAATGTCTAGGTAAATATTATCTTCATCTAGTACATGTGCTTTAAAGCAATTATAAGATCTTTGTGTATATTAAATGATATTGCTTATTCATTAGTATGCATACTCATACTGAAAAAAAGTTTTATTTTTTATGCTTTATTACCTCGGTTAAAGATGTGACAAAATACATATTAAGCAACAGCTGGTACAGAGCCTGACATAGTATTTGCTGAAATTAATTAAAGCTTTGTCTGTTTCTTAAGGTACACTGCATGGTTCCTTCTCTCTACTGTGGTCCCACATTTGAAACATGGCTACGGATTGGCTGGGCAGTATTGTGTCCATCAACTGTGGAGATAGCTTGGGTGTCTATCAGGGAAGAGTGTCAGCAGTGGATCAGGTCAGCCAGACCATTTCTCTCACCCGGCCTTTCCACAATGGAGTGAAGTGCCTCGTGCCAGAAGTCACCTTCAGGTGAGCATCCTCACTGATTTTTCTAAATCCAGTCTGGTGGTCTGTGGAGTTTGAACCTAAGTCTGATTGCCAGTATTCTCTTGCAGAGGGCTGCTTTTGAGTAAAACCTTGTCAGGAGTGACATTTTGCAGTCTTACATCTTAGAGTCCAGCTACTGTTTCAGCAGAGACTTTGTATTGTAATTAGCTTCCAACTAATGATTCAGGGTTTGTGAAACATTTTTCTTATGTGTTTCAAGCACACAATATTACATTATTTAAATGGGTCAAATTCAGAATAACCTTTCTGTTTTCCTTTAGGGTTTCAGATTTTCTTTCTCAGCGTTATGTTATTTGCACTTTCTTACATCTAAGGTTTTTATTGATTTTTTCCCCCTGCATAAATGTATCTGTCTTTGTAGATTTGTATTATAATTTATCTCCAAAAGTACATTGTAGCCAGTAGCTAAAGTCCTTAGTTACAGGAATGTATTTTTCTTGGTGTTTGCCAACAGATCTCAAGTTCAGTTGTCCTCACATCTCTCTTTTCACCAGTTTGGCAGACCACCTCCCTTTCTTATGTTTTTTTTTTTTTTTTTAAAATGACTGTCCAGCACGAGGTTCCTTGACTTTCTGAACAATACTCACTGTAGGTTCCATTCGTATTTGGTACCTTCTCTGAAGTCTTAATAGAAGAAATACCCTTTGTGTTCAGGGCTAACCTTATCATGTATGCTTTATATGCTATCCTTTTCTATCTCCTTTGAGACACTACTCCATCTCTTTTTTGTTTTCATTTTCCACCTTTGTACTATCTCTATCTTCTCGGCATTCTGACATTCCCAGAACTCCCCCGTAGTAAAAACACTACCCCCCACACACATTGCATTTGCCACTGGATATATCCCTCCTGTCATATCCCTTCTCTTTATACCCACAGTTCTTTTCAGAGCAAAACAATCTGCCTTCAATCCCTTTGTGGCCTCATTCTCTAGTCCCTCCTTACCCCACCATTATCTTTTTTCTAACTTGACCATCTTGCCAGACTAGCTCTTGCCAAGGTTACAGATGACCTAATTGCCAAATTCAGTTGCAGTGTCTCAATTCTAATCTTATTCAGATGCTTCCTAACTGTTGAAGTACTCTCTTCTTTTAGTTTCTCTGTCACTCCTTTGGGCTTTCTTTCCATGTATTTTTCCATTCCTTTACATCTTCCGTCCCCGCCCCCCCACCCAGGTTCCTTTTCTTCTACTCACTCCTTAAGATTGATTTACTCGAAGTTCTGTCTTTGATTCTTGTCTCTGTCTGTACTCTCTTTAGACAATCTTATGTGTACCTTCTTATACATTAATGAGACCCCAAATCTTTATTTATTTATTTTAATTTTTTCTTTTTATTTTTTTGTAAAGATGGGGTTGGACTTGGGGACAGGAGAGCCCACAAGGAAGAGTAGTGTACCTTCTACTCCCCCCCCCCTTTTTTTTTTGAGGAAGATTGGCCCTGAGCTAACATTTGTTGCCAATCCTCCTCTTTTTTTCTTTTTTATCCCCAAAGCCCCAGTACATAGTTGTATATCCTAGTTGTAGGTCCTTCTAGTTCCTCTGTGTGGGACACCACCTCAGTATGGCTTGATGAGCGGTGAACAGGTCCACGCCCAAGATCCAAACTGGCGAACCCCAGGCCGCCGAAGCAGAATGCGTGAACTTAACCCCTACGCCACTGGGTCAGCCCCCCAAATCTTTAATTTAAACCCATCATCTTAGCTCCAGACACTTTATTTTAATTGTCATTTCCAGGTGGATATCCCACAAGATGTCTTAAATTTAAGATTTTCAAAGCTGAACTCATTATGTTACCTACAGATTTCTTCTTCCAAAGGACTAGTTAATTTGTGGCTGACACCTCTCACCCAAGTTAGCAGCTTAGGAATCATCATAAATTCTTCTCTCTTTGATCTTCATGTTCAGTTAGTCAGCAAATCCTGTGGATTCCAAATGTCTCTTGGTTCCATCCTCCCTGCTCCCTTTGCGTTGTCACTTGCCCTGTTCATCTCCTCTTATTTCTTGTCTGGTCTCCTGACTGGTGCTCTTGCCTTTAGTTTCTCCACTTTCCCTGCAACCACCAGAAAAATCCATTGTGATTATAATCTGGCCCCTGATTACCTCCACAGCCTTACCCCCTGATGGCCCTCCACAAGCATCCTTCCCTCTAGTAATACCATAACATTTGCAGTTCCTCAAATGGGCCACATTTTCTCAATCTCTGAGCCTTGGCCTGAGATGTCCCTCTCCCTACCATACTCTGCTTGGCCAACTCTTATTCCCGTCCCCCCCCCACCGAGGCTTAGTTTAAATGTTTTATCCATCTCTGCCAGACTAACTTATATATTTTGTTTTGCGGCTCTCTAGTCCCCTATGCACACCTCTGTCATAGTATGTAACACTTTTGATTGTCTACTTGTTTTTTCTGCTGACCAGAGTGTGAGTTCCTCGTGGGCATGTATTGCTTTTCATCTCTATATACCCCATTGCTAGCACAGGGTTTACCACATTATAAGTACTCTATATATGCCTACTGAATGAGTGAGTGAGTGAATGAATGAAAAAAACCATTAAGCATTCTGGAAATCTAAGGTGCTAATGATAGTTTTGTGATTAACAGTAGGTCTCTTTAAAGGCCAGTGCTGTGTCAGTTGAATGTTGGTGGCTGAGCCTTGTCTTTGAGTGCTCTACCACCTTTTCTAGTTTCTGCCTCTGATAACTCATTGAAATGCAGACCTGCAAAGGTGTAGCTGGTTGCTATTGATCCTAGTTTCGTCACTGTTATCATTATTATAGTTTTGAAACTTGGACTCTTTTGTGTATTTCAGGGCCGGTGACATTACGGAATTAAAAATTCTGGAGATACCAGGTCCTGGAGAAAACCAACATTTTGGAGACCTTCATCAGACAGAATTAGGCCCCTCTGGTGTTGGGTACCAAGTAGGTGTCAATCAGAATGGCGCGGGCAAGTTGGTCAAGAAGCCAACCTCTTCCAGCAGTGCCCCTCAGAACATCCCTAAGAGGACAGATTTGAAGAGCCAAGATGTTGCTGTTTCCCCCCAGCAGCAGCAGTGCTCAAAGAGCTATGTGGACAGGCACGTGGAATCCTTGAATCAGTCCAAAAGTTTCCGTCGTCGGCACAACTCCTGTAAGTTGGATCAAGTTGATATTTCTTCTTAACCTGATGTTTCAGGGCTATAAACTCTTAGCCACTGCTTTTCTTTAAACCAGTCCTTTATTACCCTAATAAAAAAGGATTTCTGGCAGAGCTTCACAAAAATTAGCATGGTTTTCTTATGCCAGGGCTATTCCCTCAAGATATTAAGGGAAAAGAAATAAGCTGTTAGAGACTCACACCAGCTCCCTGCCCTCTCCCACCACTTCCCTTCCTTCAAGAAAAGTCAGTGATCTGCCTAGAGGTCACATAGACGAAAGGGATGTTGTTTTTAATCTGGTAACTGGTGGTGGTAGTGATGTCTGAGTTAACCCTGCACTTGGGCTCTTCCAGAGGATACTTGAATAACTTTTCTTCTTGTGATTTGGCTCCCATCCTCAGAGGAGAGGAAGGGACTAGTCTAGACATGTCTGTGATCTTATAGTTTCTGACAGATGGACAATTTTAAATTTGCTGTATTCCCTGTCCCTACTGGCACATCAAGGAGAACATGCACTGGTGTGTGTTGATGCCTAGTTTTGTTAGGTACTAACAAATCATTGAATAGCACTTGCTCATTGTAGAATCAGTTAATTCACTAGAATCTGGTATGCTCTTTAACATATTCATTAGAATAATGTTATAATAGTGAATTGTAACAGATTCACTAGAATCTGTTTGGCACCTGTATCAGGGGCCAACATTTTTAAGTTTTGAAAATGCCTGATTCCATGAATAAACTATTGCAATTTTGGAAATTTAAAAAAATGTATTTCAAGGCAGTTTCTTTCAGTGCTTCTTAAGTAACTATCTGAATTGACAACCATTGAAAACTTGAACTGAAATTGAGTTGTTCCTTCTCTGTATCCTTTGAAAAACTGTAGAATGCTTGGATAGAAATGGCTCTTTCCATTTAGACTTTAACCTTCTCTGCTTTGCTTTATTCTCTCTTTAAAAAAAAGTTTTTTCTGTACCAAAAATATTGACTTGTTTGTTAAAAGTTCAAATATTCAAGCAGTTTGTAATCTCTCATGCACTTGGAGATAATCTTCATTAGCAATTTATATATTATTTTTTCCTACATATTTTTCCCCCATTATTAAAATCTTACATTACTGTGGTACATCTGTTAGAATTAGTAGACCAATATTGATGCATTATTATTAACTTGTTTGTTTACCTAATGTCTTTGTTTTCTTTTTTTTTTTTTGTGAGGAAGATCAGCCCTGAGCTAACATCAGATGCCAATCCTCCTGTTTTTGCCGAGGAAGATCTGCCCTGGGCGAACATCCATGCCCATCTTCCTCTACTTTATATGGGATGCTGCCACAGCATGGCTTGACAAGCAGTGCGTTGGTGCGCGCCCGGGATCCAAACCTGGGAACCCCAGGCCACTGCAGTGGAGTGTGCACACTTAACTGCTAGGCTACCAGGCCAGCCCCCTTAGTGTCTTTGTTACAGGCTCCCATCCAGCATGCTACATTACATTTAGTAGTCATGTCTCCTCGTGGCTCTGACAGTTTCTCAGATTGATGAACATCAAAAACATTAGTTTTTGATGACCTACACAATTTTGATGAGTACTGGTTAGGTATTTTGTAGAATATCCCTTGGTTGGTATTTGGTGTTTTTCTCATGATTAGACTGGGGTTATGTGTTTTGAGGAAGAAGAGCACAGAGATAAAGTGTCATTTTCATTGCATCATATCAGGGGTATGTACTATCGACAGGGTTTATGACTTGATGTTGACCTTGATTGCCTGGCTCAGGTAGTATATGTCAGGTTTCTCTTTTGTAAAGTTCTTTTTCCCCCCTTTCCATACCATGCTCTTTGGAAGGAGGTCACTATGTGCAGCCCACACCTAAGGAGTGGGGAGTTATGCCGATTATCCACATAAATTATTTGGAATTCTTCTGCACCAGACATTTGTCTCTTCTCCCTCATTTCTTTATTTATTCAATCATTTATTTTTATCAGTATGGATTCTTAAGTATTTATTTTATACTTCATATTATAATTCAGTACTGCTTTATTTTGATGCTCAAATTGTTTCAGCTTTGGCCACTGGGAGCTCTTTCAGTTGGCTTCTGTGTCCCTTTGACATGCCCTCATCATTGTGGGTGGTTTTTCCCCCAGTACATCTTACTTTCTGGTACCAGGTTTATTTTTTATATTTCCTGCCCAGCCCTAGAATCAGCCGTGTCTCCAAGGAGCCCTGTTTCCTTTTATTAGAGAATTAGGTATTACAAACCACAATCTGGGCTCAAGATGTGTTCATGCTACTGGGTGTCACCCTTTCAGCCGACAGAGCGGGGGAATATATATGTGTACATTTAACGACTATATATACACGTCTATAAATATTTCTGTATGTAACCTTCTGTACTATATTAAACTAAATATGAGTTCATACTGATGTCTCCAACTCTAATCCATTACCATATGGATCCTTCTATCCTCCTTTTCTTATCTATAATCTCTCACTCCAACAGTGGGAAACCTGTCTCTTACCATGTGCCATCCATTGACATTTTAAATTATTCAATTCCAGTATATGTGTATAGCAGAGTACCCCCACTGCCTTGTTTCATACATTTGTAACATTCTGCATTGTTGTCACATTCTGCATTCCATTCTGCGATCCTCCAACCTCCTCACTGATTTTTCAAGATTTGCCTACATTAAGGCTCACTCTTTGTGCTCTAAAGTTCTGTGGATTTTAACAAATACATAGTGTCTTGTATCCATCATTATAACATTATACAGAACCCATTGTGTTTCACCTTTTCAGTCCTTCCCCTTTTCCCTCCGTGACCTCTCCTCCTTGCCCCAGTGACTGCTACTGATCTTTTTACCGTCTCTGTAGTTTTTGCCTTTTCCAGAGTATGACATAATTAAAATCACACAGTATGTGGCCTTTTCAGACTGGCTACTCACTTAACAGTGTGCATTTAAGAGTCGTCCGTGTCTTTTTGTGGCTTGATAGTTCATTTCCTTTTATTGCTGATTAATATTCCATTGTATGGATGTATCAAAGTTTGTTTATCCATTTGCCTATTGAAGGACATCTTGGTTGCTTCCAGCTTTTGGTGATTATGAATAAAGCTGCTGTAAACATTTGTGTGCAGGTTTTCTGTGGTCATAAGTTTTCAGATCAGTCGAATAAATACCTAGGGATGTTATTGCTGGATGTTATGGTAAGACTGTTTATTTCTATTTTTTTCCCATTACTAACAATTATAGCAATTCTCTTGAAAGAGTGCAGTTAACTTCAAAACAAGTAATTTATTTGATCTTTTTAACAAGTCACTCTGATATATTAAAAAGTGGGGTCACTCTCAAAAAGTATACCCTGGTTGATGCTGCTTCTGCTTTTGCTGTTTAGTCCATTCCCTTTTCCTAGATTGTTAACTGCATGTAAATAAGGTAAAGAGATCATGGGCAGTAAAATGTTATTTTCTTTCAGAGAACTTCTTTTGAATCCAGATTGGTGTGGAAAATGTCTGTGGCCTGGGAATTTGATGATGAGATGTGGCTCAGAATTGGTTTGTGGTAGAAGGTAGATTTACATTTATTTTCTGTTCAGGGAGCCCTGTAAGATGAGTAGAAAAGTCTGCCAGAATTTGACTTACTTAGCATTTATATAGCATTTTAAAGATTCCAAGGAAATAAATAGGTTTCTTCCTGCCACAGTTGTAATGTAGGTTATCAGCCTTTTTCTCATTGATGAATGAAGAAATGGAGATTAAATATTTTTCTTATTAGAAATCTATAAATAGAATTTTCTCTGGTATATTTACATTGATGTTGAGACTAGAAGCTTGATAAAGCTATAGAAATATAATCTGTCTTCAATTCTGATTTTTAAGTGTTCTTTCAGGGTTAGTAATGAGTTGTTGAGGGATTTGTTGGGTCTAGTTACCTAATCCAACATTGATGAGAAATTTAGCACAAGTAGATTTTAATCTCTTCCTTTAGGTTGAGGGCATGGTTATAAAGAATACTTTCTATGACCTTGGTCATTGAACTGACCACTCAGAATATTTGTCAAGTAGATGAATGGAACATCAGTCCCAGGGAGCAGAGGGAAACCACTTGAGGCCTGTTAAGGATTAAGGTCTGTGTATGCTCTGTTCATTGTAACAGTGATCCCACCATCTGAGGTCAGAAAGTTATTTTTGTCAAGTTTTCATGGTCTCACTGAGGTCCTACTGTAACTTCTTAACTTCCTTGGGTGTGCTTCATATATCTAACAGACTTGAAAACCCTGGTGCTACTGCTGGAGCCCGAGAAGTTGACTGATTACCAGGGCCTAGAATTTGGGATTTGAAAAGAAGGTCCCAGATACTCTCAGGCACCTCCTCACGAAGCCTGTTGAGTCTGGCACTAAAATATTTGCAGTTTGACCTTCAGGTGCCCTTTAGCGTGCTAAGTGCAGGACAAAGTTCCCCTTTACAATATGTGTGTGACAAAAACCAATAAATAAGTGGTACTGAGAGTTATACAACAATGGGTTTGTTATAAGTTATCCTGGCCAAAGGGCCTCTGTGCCAAAGGCTGGCAGCAAAATGGCACAGAAAGATGGCTAACCTCCAGTCTTAACGCATACTTGGCCTTTGTAATTGAAAGGTAAAGAAATCTGGGAAGCACTGTTTATCTTTTCCAAGGGAAGTGCTTTTCTCTCCCAGTGGCCAAAGGCCAGTTTAATACAGAGCCAGGCCATTTAGGCTGAGTAAGCCAAGTATTGAGACAGCTTATTCACCCAGGATTTCCCAATATTGTATTAAAGTATGAGGAAAGGCAAGAATATGAGACAACTGAGCTTGTTAGTCTGCCTTTCATTTATTTTATATTCTCCTATCTTTTTCTTGCTGACCTGTAATGTCAGTATTCCCTCTTGGAAATTTTTTTCACTCCCTACTTTCCTGGAACATAGCTGGTCCTCAGTGTGTATTTGTTTAATGAATGGGAGATCTGTATTCAGAGGGAGCGT